GAAGTGATAAAATATGAAAAATTGATATCGCAGCGCGTGACGAGTGATCGCGTGCTGATAACCAACGAACGCGAAACGCTGTATGTTTCTTTACTATTTTACACCCGCGTCCATGACAGCCTTACGTCAGAGACGCGAACAGCAGAGCGAAACCGTATAAAATACGAGACACATAATTTGTAGTAAAAGAAGACAGCAGGTGTTTCAATAAGAATCAAATATTTCATCCATACGAGTAGCGAACGATTTTAATTGTACATTTTGGTATTTAATGGCTAATATAAAATTCTAATTACGCAACGTAAGAGGAGCATAATCGCGTTTCGGTAGTAAGTAAGTCAGCCGCTATGCAATTATCAAAGGCTGGCTCGCAAGATCGCATGAGGAATAAGATAAGCGGTGTGACCGAATTAAATGTTCTATAAAGAAATGCACACGCTGTTACTAAATCAAACTAGCACCTTGCGTCCCCTTCAAATTAATTACCCACTTACCTGCAAGTAGTCCCGGCAACTATTCCTTAATCGATTCGCATCGTTTTATGCAAGATTCAGATACGGAATTTAACTCGAGGAAAATAAAATAATTTTGATATAATCCGAGGAAATTCTCGCGACGTTTAGTACGATCGTAAAACATCCCCTAAACGGTGAAACTCGAACACCACGGAACAAGGCGCCACGCTGCGTCCTGGTTTATGGGTGATTCTCATAGAAACTAAACTTATTACGCAGCGGGCGGTTTCCACCCCTTCCACGGTGAAGGGTGGCTTTTTATTAAATCACACGTCTCGCGTGCTCCTCGCCGGCCCGATTAATTTGCCGTGACGCTTTCTTTTGTGGCGTCGGACCGAACTTATCCATATTTCATGCCGATCCAACCCACCCGCTGCCTGTTTCGCGAGACGCTCCGCAATATTTGATGGCCCATAGTGCCTTTTTATGGCATTCTTCATCTTGACACATGTTCATGAATTGTTAAAGAAAAAATGTATCAAGAATTTTTGCAAGCGTACTGGAGACTAGAAATATTTCAGTCACATTTAGTACAATGTTTGATTGAAACAATGTTTAATTTCATATTAATGATTATAGTTTAATATATATTCTTCGATGTCAATTCGTAGTCGTACTCTAATAGAATCGTTTGTCGTCGAACCTTTTGTCGAGGTCGAAGAAACAGAGGTTGGTTCCAGACGAGAAGGGGGTTGAAGGACGGGGATGAAGGAGTTCTGGAGTCCTGCAAGGGACGGCTAATTCCACCGTGATCGCATCTGATCGATGTCCCTCGACCAGCCCCGTCGAAAAGTTATTGTCCCATGTAGTTGCTCTCGTCCTCCAACCTCTTCAAGATCTGTATTACTTATTATTGAAATAAGTAAGAGACAAACACGGAACGACAGACTCTGATCCTTTGGATGTTCATATCACTGGCTCGCGATATTTTCGAATACGATTCAGCATTTTCGGACAGTTTTACAACCGAATTCGTGAATCTGTGAAAACAGAAATTGGAAATTCCTTTTATATTCGTCTCCGTGTTTTCATTCACCTGATCTTCAATCTCCGGCTCAGCGTATCCGACTTTAAGGAAAAGTATGCAATCGGACAAAACATACGCGTCGAGCAGTAGCTGGCACGGGTCGCACATGGACAGTTTCCCCGGTCCCCAGCCAGCATGATTCTTTTATTTTACTTTCAGCCATGCTCCTGGACACGACGTGCTCGATTCGAACCAACCCCAGCCCCCAGTACCGTGTAGACAAAGAGGAAAAGTCTGTATCTCGAGCGAGAGAGCAGGACGAGAGAGACTCGTTCCGGTGGAAGGTCGCATATGGTGTGTCCTCCACCCCCGAAACTTTCGAAGGAGCCCGGCTGGCTATCTACGCCTGTCCCCCTGAACTTTGACCCTTTTATCTTATCTCACGGCCGATAGATAAGCACCGGCGATAAAGCTGCCGGACGAAATGAAGCCACCGTTGGCGTGGATGCAGTCGCCATTCCTTAATTAAGTCCCGACGATCGTTTATCCGGTTTATTGGCTTGTTTGCCGCGTGCTTTCCCTCGCTGACGAACACCGAATATATACCAGTCGAACCATTATGGAACCGTTCCTTTCTCCACCCTCCGGTCTGTGCTTTTTTTTTTTAAGCAAACCTTGTCATGAATCTACTTATTTATTTAGTACGAATAAAAATGTCCTCCAATTACAATAAAAGGATGGGGCGGGGGAAAGGTGGATTAAAACCACTGTACGAGGAAGTACGTGATGAATTATGGAAATGAAAGAAAGTGACAAGCTTCGGAAATGTATATGATTTATATACTTGAAATTTATAAAATTACCGGGTGTTTCGATTTCCCTTCGGCGGTGGAGAAAATAAAAAACGGAGAAGAAATGCCAGGAGATACGAGATAAAGCGAGAGCAGCCGGGACCGCATTACGTATTCCTCCGGCATCTCTCTTGATCTCCCGCATTTTTATTGCACTTGCCGCTGGTAAGAATATGTTTTATTTATATTTCATATTTCTCTCTCTCCCCGGCCGGTTTCGTGACCGCCACGAGAAACCCCGGTTCCCCGGATTCGCACAGGGTGACCACCGAGATCGACAGTGGGATCTTTTTATTCACCCCATCTCCGTAATTTTATCCCCCGTCCCATTTTGCTCCTCCGAGTTTATGCTCGTCCGTCGAAGAATCTGACAAATATTCCAAATTAATAATCGTTAGCCGCTACGTTAAATTAAAAATTATAATAACAGAAAAGGATAGTTTTAATTCGATTGATTATTTTCATGATTGAGATCTGATTATTGATATCGGCAGTTCATTACTCGGAAATTTTTATACATTTAACAGTTTGTCGTAAGACTCGTGAAGCGGGGGTGTCGATTGGGACGGCAATCAGGGATATGTTTCGACGGTTCGCCCACCCTCCGCTCGTGTTTCGGTTTGATTAATTGGACGCCGTGAACGACACTCGTGTTAATTCGTCGGTGTGCGCAAATTGCTCGTTATTACGGTGGCCCGGCAGGTATTATTTACCCGTGCTCGCGACGGATTGTTGAAAATGCAGCTTGACAAATTGGAAATTTGTGTAAAATTTAAAGCACTCGCGAGTGCCGCATTAGACCCGCGCGGTTTTCGGATGTTTATACTGGTTAATTGTTGAAATGGAGATTACAATCGGTTCGATTCGCGTTAGGGAAGCGAGGGAAAAGGGTTCCATCGACGCGTAAAGCTTTTCGGTATGGGACGTTACACGCAATTTGCCACACTTACTACAATAATGACTTCCCCTTCGACGTATTTTATGGATATCACACTGTTGTGCATAACTTACTCCCTCGGACGCCGGAAACTTCCAACTAAATCACGTCTACCGATCGTAAAACCGAACCGTTGAAGACTGAGAACGCGTTTATGGGTTTTATGGTGCGTTCCATACAGCCGGGTCCTATTAATTCAATCTTCTCCCCCTTTCGATTATATTTTCTCCAAATAAACTCGAATTTCAGACTTTCGTATGTAGAAAATCATCAGACTGTAGAGTTTTCTTTTGCAGTATGCACTCATCTTTCAACCCTTTTAATGCCAAACGACGATATATCGTCGCTTATCCGAGGGCGTCTTATTCGCATTACGAAAGAACTCTAATTCAAAATGAATGTATAAAGCGTTATAAACGATTTAATTTCATTGCAAAAGAATTAAAAAAATTGTTCTCGGGTTTGACTTTTTGTCATAATCTATGCTGGAAAATATATATAAATATTTTTATAATTTATTTACAAATTCGTCAAATTGACTCGGCATTCCTCGCATAAGTACAATACTTTTGCTCGGCACTAAAAGGATTAATACGATCAATATTTCTATTCTCTTGCATTATCTTCTGCAGTTATGATTTATCTATGAACACGTCAAATCCTGGCATTTTATCGACTGACACATTATCAGTAGAAGATTATTACTAATAGTGACTCATCTCACTTTGTCAATTGTTTTAGTCATTCGGCACATCTAATCATAATTGAAGAAACGCGTTATCATTAAGATCGTACTACATCATAACCGTGTGAAAACCCGAGGATTCCACGGTTGACTCATTCGAGCGAAGGCGTGTACGTGAGTTGAAAAGACCGCGACAGTTGTGAGTAATTTCATTGCAGATACGTGACGGGACCGGTGCTGCTGGTGTTATACGAAGGTACGTACGTATAAAGTCGCGCGTGGGAATTTTCGGATAATTTGATAAGGATTCACGAGATGCTCCTCTCGGTCGACGGACGAATTCCTTATTCAAGTCGCACGCGGGCCGTATGGCTTTTAAATTCCGTGGCCCCCTTTGATGGGAACCGCTTTCGAAACGACACAACAACCACGTAAATCAGAAGTTTGATACGTCGCTACAACGAGCATAAATCACCCGTGGAAATTATAATATTCCCTTTTGCTCGGATAAGAGCGCGGGCATACCTTCTTTATGAAGGTCGTTGAATCCGCGTTTCACCTGTCTAATCCAGCGAGATTCAAAAATTATGTTTCCGTCGGAGTCCGTGTGGAATAATGTTTTATACTATAAACGTGATCATTGCTCGGGAACGAAAACTCTGTGAATCAATCAAGCTTTTTTTCTATTTCCCGTGAAAACATAATTAACAGTGAATAATATCTAAGAAGAAGTGTGATAGAAGGAATTTGAACATCGATGACGATCGGAGTTAATCATCAATAGGCGCTTACAATACATACTTATTAACTGTGAAGACAAGAGCGCGATTGGTCATTCTTTCGTTACCGTTAATACAATTTGAAGCGCCCCGCGCCTGGTAATCAGTTATTCCAAAGTGATTGAACTAGGAACACGTACGGCAAGAAGAATTGAATTGAACGTAAGTACGATTCTAATATATTTCAATTTTAAAAACCGTGCCTTACGAAGTCCTCGGTTTGTTCATATTTGAATGGAAAACGTAACTGGATATCGTAGTAGGGCAAAGTACACGTGATATTTGTGAGGTTATGGTTTACGTTTGAGGTAGCGCGAAAACGAAAGATTTCGTGTATCGTTTCTTAAAGATTTCGACATGACATTAACCGATTTCCTTGTTGTGTAAGAATATATAATGAAGCATTTATTAGGCTTTAGTTCAAACAATATTCGTTTAATTCGTGCATTTTGAACGATGTTACATTTGGCATGTGTGTTGTTTGTTGTAGATGTCCTCTACACAAGAAGAACCTATTGTTATAGATATTTCAAGTGACGAAGAACCATCTGCACCCAAGAGGATGAAAATGGCTGAGGTGATTGAAGGCAAAACGCTGACAATATCTGGAGTCAAAGTCCAGTTTCCCTTACCTACACCTTACAAGTGTCAAATAGCATTAATGTCCAGGGTAAGTTTTTCTGTAATTGAGACACAGTTTGCTTGCGAACAAGGAAACATGGTTTATTAATGAGCATTATATTTGTTACAGGTGATAGAAGGCTGTAAGAAAAGTCAGCATTGCTTATTGGAGAGTCCGACAGGCAGTGGCAAGACGTTAGCTCTTCTGTGCAGTTCTCTGGCTTGGCAGGACTGGTACCATGGTGAGTTTAAACAATTTTTTACAAATTTTGATTGAAAGATATAGCATGACAGAAGATAAGATAATAAACGTCAGTGGTTTTAAATTCCTATTCAGCAAATAATGATCTGTGATAAATAATGTTATCAGATCATCATCTGAATCATGGAGATATACAAATTACTGTACTGTTATGAACGTCAGTGCTTTAACAATTATTTGACATTGACATTTATAATAGAATTTCAAATGTTCATTAAAAAGTTATAACGTTCAGTGGTTCAAGTAGTTGATATAAAGATTTAGAATACATAATTAGAAGTCATAATAGAAACAAGAATATGATAACATTAATATTCAAGAATTGAGCAAGTAACATATGCATGCCAAGTCATTAATCCTTTTTTGTATGCACGAGACGATCTCCGCCTAGCAACGAGATGTATACATGCTCAAGCTTGTGTACATTACGATATCTTTGCCCATATATTTTTTGTATTAGTTTAGCGTCACCAATTATGTCCCATTTCGTGTTTGGACCTTCGGTGACGCGCGAGTAAGATCGAGATTATTAGTTCCCGTATTTCTATTAAAGTTTCCCGGAGTTCTTGCTTATCGAAAGTTTAAAAGCACGTCGCCAAACAATTTCTTAACGTGTCACGAAAATGTCTAACGAGAGACGCGAAAGTCCCTCCGCGAAAACGTCCGTTAAAGTATTATAAGTTTTAAGGAAACTTGGAGTATAGGCAGAGATCGTCTAAAATTCATTACTTGCCTTCGAGGAGGATAATGTGAATAAATATATTTTGCATGCAGAACTTCATATCTTGTGCTATCTTCTCGATTTATAACAGATTGTGGATTTTTATAAATGTATCAATTTAAGACGTGCAAATTCTGTTGTCATTTAAACATTGCGAAATGCATACGAGTTTTGATATTCTACGTTCCAAATACGTATAAAATCCGCAATCTGTGTGCTACAATTTATCTGTGTTCGATATTAAGTTGTAATAATGTAAGCCGTTGGTATCAAGTTATAAGGATATACGAAAAAGTATCCTTTAGATATACCAACCGTGCTGATTGCCACATAATTTACTGTAATTTAAAGTATCTTTGGGAACGTGGAATTCACGTGACGTGCGCGAAGTACCAAGCGTGTAATCAAGGACGTTAAAGAAGTTTCGTTAGGGATTTGAACCGGCTATTGACCGTTCTATTAATTTAAATTATTCGAGCATTCGTGTTAGCCCTTACGTAGCTGTTCCGTGCCCGTCCCTCGGTGCATGTCGCTAATTGTGCAATTCCTAAAACAATTAGAATCGGGCCTCGGTCGCGATCGCCTCGTACCAGTTCGCGAAAGGACGACGCGCGTCCTTTTCAGGTAAATCCGCGACTTGCTCTCCTTATTATCTCGCATTTGCATAATCGCTCGCCGGCCTATCGTGTGGTTTTCCCTGAAAGTGGAAACTGTCGTTAAGAGTCGATTCGAGGGTACGAAATCGTATCGTACCTAAATTATACAGCAATATTTATGTAGCATTCGAATCTCCCCCGTTAAGATTGTACATTCCTCGTGAATTCACTGAAACGTTGATTGAGGCAGTAGACAAATCACCACGTCCACAAATCTTGTCTAGGATATCGTACGAATTTCAAACAAAAAATCGTTTTATGTAAATGAGTGTATAAAAGCTTGTACACTTATTTTACAGTTTATTATATCAATTTTATTTTGCATATGGAAAAGGGCAATCTGTCGTATGATGCTACTCGTGGTTCGCGTAGGAAAAGTGAGTGGTTTACTATCGACGATCGCGTAATTTCTTATCCGATGAGAGAACTTGGTCTATTGTCTCTCCCAAAATTCCTAGGGGTGACAAAGTCGAGTCACCATTCACGATGATTCAGATATTGAGTTGTACTATCACCAACCACGATCTCAACGTTTCATTAGATCGTATTACAGAATGAGATGTACGGACTTGCTTACGAGAAATGTTTAGTTTATCGGATTCATTATTTCTACACATTTTCTCTTTCATTCGCAACGACAATGCATTCTACATATAGCTCGTTCCGCTTCCGGAGATACGGATGGAACCTCCCCGGTTTCCTCCTCCGCCTTCTCTTCCTTCTCTCGTGACATCGTCCCCGTGAATCTGGAATTATCGGGTACACTTTCCGCTCGGTGGATCGAACGTGCCGCGTAGGAAGGAAATCCTGGGATTAATTGCTACCTTTCCGATGCGCAACGCGTGTGCCGTTCCGGTTTCCCTCGCATATCCGTGACAGCGTTCAGGGAAAAGGTGTTACGCACTGATTTCACTCACAAAATCGCATCAGCGAAACGTTCAATACGATTGAACTGCAGATTTTATGTAGGAATTGTGTAGAAATTTTATTTCGCATTTTATTCATGCATACGTAAAACGTTAGCCTGGCACGTCATATTTGCTGAGCATTAAATTCTCGATTTAAATAGAATAATTATACAGTTTTTACTTGAAGAGTAATATCAGTCTTACTCTGTTAATTATTGCACGAAAAAATGATTGAATTTAATTCGATTGATTTTGTAGTTTTCCAAACGTGATAAGAGAAGGCGCGTGCTCATTCTACTTTGATTTCAACGCTCGTGTCGCGCGACACTCGATACGTTTTGTAGTACGCATTCGTAATTAGGCGAGCGAGAGAGACGGGAGGTTGTCTCGATTAGCGTTAGTCATGACAGCGTGCGTCCCCGTGCACGAACATGCTCCTTTTTCCCGGTTTATAATTCCTCCTGGCTCCTTTAAAAAGCAGCCACTGTCACGCTCCACCGTCGGAGGTCGAGTGGTACTGCTAGCCGCCGAAACTTGTAAATTCGTGTGCCCCGCGAGACCGGAAATAAATCATTTGATATCCACCGAACGGTTGAAATTGTCCCCTTCACGTTGGTTTAATCGATACGGTGACCATCAAGGGTGAACTCTGATTTATCGCTCTGCTTTCCTCTTTTTCTCATTCATATAATCGTTTACAAACTCTTCCGGTTTGTCATTGTAGTTATTGGCAACATCGTTAGATTATGGATTCAGAAATATAACCGTTAGGGTAGTTTAGAAAACACGTTCTAGATAGATTTTATCATTTAAACTGCACAAAATTAGATGTTTAGTAATCATGCAGAGATTCTTAAATCTCAACGTGGAGAGAGTTCAATTTTATTTTAGGTAACTATTGTAAAAATCGAGCACGTAGGTTCTAGAAATGATCAAAAATCTGAATTTAAATATGATAATTGAGGCTGAAAGGCTCCGAAAAGATTCCCATGTGGAACACGTAGCATCGTCATTACAGTCATACGTCAGAGGCTAGTCATTTTGTGAATGAGGACATTGATCATTTCCTAATTCCCATATTACAAAACAAATTTATGGACCTGACGAAAATTCCCAATTTCCAAGGCTCTCGAACATCTGCAAATACAAGTGAATACGTATTGCAGTTATTAAATGATATCGAATGATTTTATTTTGCGTACAAAAACTGTAGTGCAGTTGTAATGAAATTGTTTGCACGTGTTCAGTGAGACGTTGATCAGCGGTATGGAGAGTCTCGTGAATTACGAAAGAATCTTTCGAAGGAACAAACAGTAACGAGAGCGAATGTCGCGAGGGGTGGTTCGAGGAGGGTATAAATTTCGAAAGTTTATCGCGGGATCGCATGCCGGCTAATGTCACTTTATAACGAGGCGAGCGCGGTACGAACGAGAGCCTGGAATAGGTTTCGCCCATTGTGCTCCGGGTAAACTTGCCGAGTCACAATAATTATCGGTGAACGTAGGAATTATATATTATGTCCCGGGCAGCCGTCGTCCTCGTCGCCGTGAATCGTCTTTGCGCCTCAGCATGCAACTCGCAAGACGCTCTTCTATGACGTTCCGACATTAATAACCCCTTTTGTGCGACGAGAGGTACCAACCGCGGTACCACCGTTCCCTAATCCTCAAACGCTCAATCAAACTTTTCCTATAGCCGTATAAATTATTCGATTCTTTATAATTATTATAGTGCCCGTCGAATCAAACTTGGCGTTTCTGTAAAACTTTGACACTTTGTTAATTATTATACTTGCCGAACTTATAATTTTACTGTGAACAGAAATCGAAACAATAGTCTGTTCTCAGTGAAATTTCTCTCTTCTATTTATTAAAATACTTCTTGGACGGGGTAATGGAAACGGATGGCAGGTACGACGTTGAAACGTACAAACTGAAAATCTGTTAACTTTGAAATAGAATATTTGAGTGACAGTACAATTTTTTCCTGTATTATACATTTTCGGTGGATCACGTTACTTGATTGGCATTACGCGTTTCTCAGATTTTCGTGAAAACGATTCACAAGGGAATATGTTGAAATTTTAACAACTCTCGTGCGTAATATATCCAATGCTAAATCATTGGAAAATCATCTTGAATTTAATAGAGGAACGAATGTTTTGAAGAATTCACGAAACTCATCATAGATTCTCGTAAGAATCTCGAAATTAGGGCAGTGGTCCAAATAATCGTTCGCCTGGGTCGTTCAGAGTTGAGCGATTCTTTTCGCGAATCAGAAGCCGCTTAGCGCCGAATAATAATCGCGATCATGCACGTTCTCCGACGAGAAAAATCGGTTCTAACGTTGACGATTTCGCGAAAAAGGATCGCGACGAGGACAAAGATTGTTCGGGCGTAGTCGGAGTGAGACAAGAACAAGGGGAAGAACGGTAGTCTCGGAATGGTGCAGGGCTACCCGCAGAGCACGCTACTTGCTGTGGCAGCTTCACGAACGAAAGACAAAGGAGGGCCCACGCTTTCATCCGTGCCGACATTAAGGTACCTACCGTATACGCTCTTTTGGGACACAATAAGGTCCGCATGCGGGTCCAACGGATCTCACGTCTTCTACGTACGCATACGGCTTTCTTCACAATGAGGAATCTGTCTCGCTTCAACCCCTGTGCACACAGAGAACCAACCCCACCTCTCTT